TACATATCTTTAAGAATTCGCTTTATACTATCTAATGTTCCACATCCACGGTGCAATGAAATATATTTAAGATTTGCGCGTATATTTGGATGGGTTTCATAAAAACGTTGAGCAATATAAATTACACTAATTCCTTCATGTCTACCTGATCTAAAGAAAGGTATGATTTTCAGTTGTGTTGCTAAAGGTTCACCGGCAAGATCATCAAATATTATAAGAGTGAATCGGCCTGTTTCTTTAAAAGATGAAATATTAGGTAACTCTCCAGGCCCGATCAGCTTGAATCTCACATTTTCGTACCATGGAGCTTGCTTATCCATAGCTATAAATTCATAAAAACATTGTACCGCTTCCCATAACTCTTCATCTTGATGTTGCGCAACAACAATTAGATCATCACACGGAATATACCTTTCACCAAAATTTTTGCTCCCTCCTTTTGGTATTTTATAACCATGTTTTTCACCAGACATCCACGGATATATTTTTGGATATTTACTTCCTAGGAGCAGATGTACTACCATGCTCGTCTTTCCAGACTCAGAGGTGCCCGCAACCAATAATCTAAATGGGTGTCTAGGTGCGAATTGATTCTGTTTTTTTGAAGGTATAGTTTCGTCTAATTTGCGTAGCTCATAATACTCCATAGTATATTGAAAAGTAGAATAATTATTTAAGAAATATATTTTGTTATTCGCAATGCCTAAAAAATTTTCTTTGAATGATGCAATAAAGATAGCAGAATTTCATGGAGGAAAATGCCTTTCCAAAGAATATATCAATTGTGAAATTCCAATGCTTTGGGAATGTAGCGAATACCATCAATGGATGTGTTCTTTTCGATCTATCAAAAATCGCCATTCATGGTGTCCTTACTGCTCAAATAGAAAACTCAATATTTCAGTGGCCAAAGAATTGGCATGTGCTAAAAATGGATGGTGCATTTCTGAGAATTACGTTAATATTAACTCACCTCTTTTATGGGAATGTGAAAATAGTCATCGGTTTCTCCTTTCTCTTTCAAATGTCAAAAATGGAAAAAATTGGTGTCGTGAGTGTATGAAACTTGGACTTGAATTCGCCCAGAATCTTGCAAATAAAAGGGGTGGGACATGTCTTTCTAGTTCTT